ATACAGTATGAAGTTTAAATGCTAACTAAAGATGTGTATTTTCCAAACAAGAAACTACGAGAAACTTATTAGTAGCCTAAGGAAACACTTTCTCTAAGGAAAAAAATATTTTCTTTATAGTCAATAAGTTATATAATCTGATGAAAAATAAAAATCACTTACAAACTATTTTAATTTATTAGAGATTAAATCTTTAGAGAATGTATAGAAAAATCACTCTCAAAAATGATTTTAGGCACATTTCAACAAACTTTTAAGAACAATTTCTCATTTTAACTGTAATTCCATCAAAAAACTCCACCCACATACTTAAAGGCAGTATATTTACTCCTCTGAGTAATTCTACTGAATTTTGGCATTCTGCACCTGTGGTTTTTCTCTTTTAACAAATATCGCTACCATGGCAACAAAAAGTCACACAGTACCATATACTGTGCCCTTTATGTAAGCTTGACCTGGTACCCAGTATCAAATAAAATCTCATTTCCCGTTCATGCATTAGATTGAAAGGGATGCAGAGACATAGAAATGTATGTCACTAAAATGAAATGTTAATTTATAGGAGAGATCTCTATTCTGAAGAATTTCAAATGTAATTTTTTTGGCTCTTTTAAATTTGTTTTTTGGTCTTGTGCCACACTCAGTTGTGCTGAGGGTTTACTTCTGGCTCTTCACTCAGGAGTCACTCCTCGGGGTGCTTAGGGAACCATATGAGACTCCAGGGATAAAATTCTGGCCAGCCACAATGCAAAGCAAGCATCCTGCCCACTGTACTATCTTTCTAACCAAATATTTGGAAAATAATCTGAATATTTAGTACAAAAGTAGCCTTGGGCTTTTGTCATTTAAAGTATTCTGAGTTTGTCTAGTTTAACTCATTTTTATATTGCAATAAGTTTTATAGATTTGAAAGATCATAGGAAATTAAACTGTGTAGAGTATAGTTACATTAACACAAATCTACTAACAGTCAAGGGAGATAGCTATTTTACTTTACCAAGTCAAAAAGACCCAATTATTAATAGTGATCTTTTGGCAGTGGAAAGATATTATCTTCACAATGGAAGATATTTACTGTGTAAATATATGACTTTGAATTACACTACATTTACATTTTTTTGTTGTTATTGTTTCTTTTTGGGTTACACCCTCACTCTGTACTCAGGGATCACTCCTGGAAGTTGAGGAGATCATAGAGGGTCCAGGAATTGAACTGAGGTGAGCCACATGCATGGTAAGTGCTTTACCCACTGTACTATGTCTGTGGCCACAAATTAATTTGTTTCAATGTTTTGTCCTCCCGTTACTCATCGATTTGCTCGAGCAGGCACCAGTAACGTCTCAATTGTGAGATTTGTTGTTACTGTGTTTGGCATATCAAATACGTCACGGGGAGCTTGCCAGGCTTTGCCATACAGGTGTGATACTCTCGGTAGCTTGCCGGGCTCTCCTAGAGGAGTTGAGGCATTGAACCTGGGTCAGCCACGCCGGCTGCATGCAAGGCAAATGGCGTACCACTGTGCTATCACTCCAGCTTGTGGCCACCAGGACTTCATCTGGAGCAGGTGGATCGGGCATCACTTCTGGCAAGCTTGGGGGACCATATGCATTGCTGGGGATTGAATCTGCGTCAGCCAAGTGCAAGGCAAGAGCCCTACCTGTTGTACTATCTCTCTAGCCCCCAAATCAGTTAATTTATTGATGGATATTCTGATTGTGTCTAGGTTTTGCCATTAAATTGATAAAAATAATAAAATAATACAATTGCTCGAGCAAATCGATGACTAACAGGAAGTTAAGTGATTAAAGTGATTAAGTGATATTATTTTAAAGTAAAAATATTCACAGAAAAAAATGGAAAATTCAAAAAACATAGACAAGAGAAAACCATTTGTATGTCATCTTCTGATTTCTAACCTCAACTTGAGAAAGAAATTAGCACTGTATCTTTGAGGTCAGCTAGACAGTTATATAAGGTCTCAGGCAAAAAAATTACAAAAACAAAAAAAAAACAAAGAAATCTGTTTTTAAGATTAAATCAGTTCTCAAGCACAATACAATGGAATGTAGAGGAAGCACAGTATAAAGGAATCTGTACTTAGTAAAAAAGATGAAAAATTTAGTAAATATTTAGTAATAAATATTAAAACAGAACAACTGTGAAACATGCAGAAAAAAAAACAGTGTGAGTAGGTAAAAAGAGTTCTGAACACAAGATGGTTAAAAACGCTTTCCAAGTCAGTTCATTAGATTGCATAAAGCCATACTATAAATTATGGGTAATTTGATCCAGGGACAAAAATTCCATAAATTCTTATAATGCCTTTTCCACTATCCAAATGTATTAACCTAGATGAAGGAGAATGAGATTTTTCTTTCTAGTTCTCAGTAAAATCAAGTTAGTAGGCATTAATAATATTTAAAGCACAAGGTAGGATTCTATGGAATATGATATTGACCAAGATTTTGCATATCAATCTTTTTTAAAGGATAGGACAGGGAGAGATAATTGTCTTGGAATCTACTGGGCCTCATCTCAGAACTAGGAAATTTGCCCCTGCAGGTGGGAACTTCTTAGGTATTTTTAGACAAAATAAAGCTTGAAAATCAAAGTTTCTAAAAGTTTTCTCATAATCATTTTACTTCTTTTTTTTCTAACATAATTAACCTTTTGCAAGATATTCTTAAAACAGAGTACATTTTTACATGATTATTTATGAAATTATCCCATCATTTTAATAATGACTTAGTTCTGTTTGCTCATCCCTGTTTTCGTGTGCTTTGAATAAGTTACACTATTTCTTACTTTCACATTCTTATTTCGGAACAACTTTTTAAAATTAACTAACAATCAATAATTTTATGCTCTTTGATGATTTTAAATGACACCCGGGAGGCACTGAATCAGAATTTAGTGAGCTGGATTCTTCTGTGATATTTGGTTTGTAACTTGCTTGTACATGCTGTAAACGACCTTGCCCAACTTCCCTTGATATAAATACCCTTATTTTATGATTTCATGATTGCAATGTCTTTTCTTATGATGTCCTTGCTGAACTTGATGCCTTGATGCAACCTCAATGTCCTTGCTGCACTGTCTGTCTCCTGCTAGATGAGAAGTCACAGCCCTGCAGATGCTCAATATTAGTACTCTTGGGGTCCTTTATTTGGGCCAATAGCTTTAGAGGCTTTGCCTAGCTACAGTTCTGGCCTGACCAGCCAGTGTAAATAATCCATCTTGCTCTTCTGCCATAAGATGACTCTGTGTGCTTGATTAAGCAAACGTTGGTGCAACATTTCTACCTGGAAGATGACCTTGGATATTTCCTTCTAAATCTGCTTCTCTGTCTAAATTAAAAGTTTGAATTACTCAGACAAAATTTCTATGAAACCAATTTTTTAAATGTATCAAGGCATTGATTACGCTTAAGGTTTGTAAAACATATTGGTGAAATTCCTCTTAGGCTAGATATTCCAGCCACTATATCATCACATGCAGAAAATGAAGTTCAGATTCATGACCCTTGCTGTTAGAAAAATGTTGAACTTATATAATACATCCATATGGAAAGCCACTGATTCAACTAGTGGATCATTCTCGTGCATTGATTTGTTTCTCCCCATTTCTGTTAGTTGTCTAGTTCAAATCCTTTGAAAGTTTCCAGTTGAAACAATACATTGCTTTCTATAGGTTCTGATTTTAATACGGCTTCATTTATATTCTTTCTCCACACTACAATCAGGGGCATCATTCTAAGATAGCATGATGTTCTTTCAGCACTTTGAATTTTTTAATGACTCGTCTCTATTTAAGCTCCATTCCAAACTTAGAAATAAGGCATAGAGCAACTTCTTACCTTCCACTCCCATTCTACACTACTCTGTCTCTACCAAGTCTTGTGTCTTGTTAACCAACTCTATGTACATGTTACATGACTTTCCTCAAATTATATATTATTTCCTCAGATTATATTATATATCATTATATATGATCTTGTTTTCCGTGTTCCAATTTCTCTCTGAAAATTTTTGTCACCCTTTATCTGCTGAACAAACTTTGCCGCACTTTATAAATATCTCTATTTTTATCATTACACTATTTCCTCTCTATAGTCCTTTCCCAAAAGATTTTAAGCAAAATAAAGCTGAAATTGCTTCAGTTGTAGAGCCTGCTATAGTGTGTTACACAGAGATGCTAGAAAAATATTTGTCAATACAAACAAGTGACTAGATATATCTGCAAAAATAATTTCATGGTAAAAAGTAGGAGTCAGAGAGATAATACCATGGTTAATGTTTTTGCCTGGCATGCATCTCCTGTTCGATCCCTTGACACCATGAAGAACGACTACCAAGCAGAGAACTGGGAGTAGCCACCAGCACTGCTGGGTATGGCCCAAAAAAGAGTAAAAGAGAGAGGAGGAGGTGAGAGAGAGAGAGAGAGAGAGAGACAGTGGGGGAAGGGGAGGGGAGGGAAGGGGAGGGGAGGGGAGGGGAGGGGAGTGGAGGAGAGGGGAGGAAAGGGGAGGGGAGGGGAGGCAGGCGAAGGGACAGGAAACAGAATAACATATCAGAAAACCATTCTCTTTTCTTTTTGGTACACACTTGTGTACCAAATAAGCTTTGTGTACCAAATAAGCTCAGGGCTTATTCCTGGCTTTGCACTCAGGGATCACTCCTGGCACTGCTCAGGGACCCACATTTGCTGCCAGGGATCAAACCCAGGTCTATTGTAAGTAAGACAATTAATGCCCTACTATGCTATCATTCTGGCCCCTAAAAGAATATCTTTAAAAAAATATTTTAATTTTCAGTTGCATCAATTTCCTTCCCATATAGTTTATGGAAAACTTATGAATTATACATGTATTTTTTGTCATAAGCAGTATAGTGTACACTGTAAGCAGACTTTGAAAGATATTCATGCTAATCACTCACATTTGAAAGGACTGGAGAGTCCAATCAGCAGCAGTAAAATTGATAAGTGGAGCAATTCCTACCTGTTAGATCAGCATTGGGCCACCATCCTAATTCACAAGCTTTGCAGGTGAATTCATCTTGCACGAACTCATTCTCTTTACAAGCTGTGCAAATCCAGCAGCAACTCACTTCTCCTTTCCGAATGACCTATAAATGGGGATATTTCATATATGACAAAGACAGTTTGTCCAGAAATTCTTTTCGTTTGGATGAGAAATTATTTTTGTATTGTTATTAAAATAAAAGAGCAACTTTTCCCAGAATTATCTCTGCCAAAGAAACAAGCATCTGGATTGGAATATGCCTGTTTACCTTAGCGTTCAAGTGTAATTTCTATTCTTTCACTGCTAGGTCTAGAGACTTTTCATTTTTTTTTAAATAAACATAATTGAGTATCTTTTACAGAGTTAAAAAAATAACACAATTGAAACTTTTCTTTTTCAATATGTACTATACTCAGAAATGAAAAATTGCATTTTTATCCTCTCAAAGTGAGAAAATATGTAACTAATAGAGCTTCTATATTAATTCAGAAACACAAATTATGAACCTTTCAGAGGAATTGTGAAATTTTGTACAACTTTACACATGTAAGGATAGAATGATGGCTAAAATAATGATACTTTCTTATGGTCCTTTGTCTTGCTCTAATATTAAAAAGATCAAATAAATTTGTGAAAGAAAAATTCCAAGTCCAAATTTATTGGACAGTTGCCATGACTTGAATATTTCAAACTTTATCCCATCATTTTGTTTGGTCAGCATTTTCATTGCTATAATATAAAAATAAACATTAAATATTGCATTGAAGGTGTTTTATGTAAGTAGCATGCAATTAGCTCTTTTCTTCTCTAATGTGATAATTATTTTATTAGGTCATTTTGTACGCTTACATTCATTGTAGTATTTTATGTGATTGGAGATCAATCATCTGTCAATCATCTCTACTACTTTTTCTATCTCTCCCATCCGTTCTTTTGTTTCCTTTTTCTACCCTTTCTTGTTTCTTTTGCATTATCTGAAAATGTTTTAGTCTCACATTTATCTCCAATATTAAATTCTTCTTTGTCAAGACCCTGAATGATCAGTTTGAGGCTCTTCGTGTTCGTAGAACTAACAGATGTCATTGGTCTATTCTAGCACGCAACAAGGGGTGAATGGAGACGTTACTGGCGCCCGCTCGAGCAAATCGATGAGTAACAGAATATCAAGTGATCAGGTGATTAAATTCTTGGTTATCTTTTTTGGTTTTTTTTAGTGGTTGCTCTAGGTTTGATAAAATGCACCCATCACAATCTAGTCTAAACTCAAAATATGAGCTCACATATAATGTATGTGAGCTCAAGTAGCATTATTCCTTTCATCTTCCCATCCTTCTCATCATTGTTTTAGTACATTTTCACCTATTTGTATTTAACAACATCAATGAATAATTTCTGCTTTAAATAATATTTAAATGAGAAAAAACATTACATATGGCATATATGTATATCACAAATCACAATCACAAATCATCCTGTTAATCGTCGATTGCTTCGAGCAGGCCCCAGTAACGTCTCCTTCATCCTAGCCCTGAGATTATATTCCAGGCTCTTTAGGAGAATGAGACCTATCATTGTTACTGGTATTTGGCATTTTGGGTATGACACAGGGAGTTTGCCAGACTCTGCCGTGTGGGCAGGCTACATTCGGTAGCCTGCCAGTTTGTCCAAAGTAGGAATGAGATAATAAGATGTCATAATAGGATGTCGCGCGGCCGCCAATGCGGCCGCGCGGTTCCGGGAGCTGGTTTTTATAGTCTCTGAGTCTTGGCCGTTGGTTTTTTGTATATCTTAACAATATAGCTCTTCATTTTCGTGAATTACCACTTCATTATCAAAACCAAAAATCTAGTTACCACTCAACATCATGCAACTAACGCACTTTACTGATTTCTTCTCTTTTTCCCTTGCACTCTCTCTGCTAACCCCCATTTTGTTGTGTCTTCCCTTTGTTTTTGTTTTGTTGCTTAATCATTTGTTTTATTTATACTCCACAAACAAGTGAAACCCAGATAGAATTCATCTTCTGACTACTTCAACTTAGCATAAGCACTTCAAAAGTCATCTATTTTGTACTACATGGCAAAGTTTCCTTTAAAAATATATCTGAGTAGTACCTATGGGCCACACTTTAAACATCCAATCATGGTTGATGCACACTTCAGTTGCCTTGGCAATTATAAATAGTGTTACAATGAAGACAATAGTGCACATATCTTTTTAAAATAGTGTTTCTATATTATTTCTATTAAATATCTAGGAGTGGAATTACTGGTTCATATTGCAGACTTAATTGCTTGAGGATCATCTATATTGATTTCCACAGTGAATACACAAATTTATGTTACTACCAATGCATAAGCATTCCTTTTCTTCCATATTCTCAACAATATTTATTGCCTTATGTTTTTAAAATGGGCTGGAGCTATAGCACAGCAGGTAGGACTTTTGCCTTGCATGTGGCCGACCTAGGTTTGACTCCTCCACCCCTCTCAGAGAGCCCAGCAAGCTACGAAGAGTATCTCACCTGAATAGCAAAGCCTGGAAAGCTACCCATGACGTATTTGATATGCCAAAAATAGTAACTATAAGTCTCACCATGGAGACATTACTGGTGTCCACTCAAGCAAATTAATGAACAACGGGAGGACAGTGCTACAGTTCAGTTTTTAAAATATAGACCATTTTCTGATGGTAGATTCTACTTGTGGCTTTCATCTGTATGTCCTTCATAAGAGAACATTTTTACATATGCCTATTTGTCACCTGCATGTCTTCTTTGGAGAAATATCTATTAAAATATTTTTCCTGTTTTTAAACATTGGGTTGTTTGGTTGTTGTTGTTTTGTTGGATTCTATATTTATACGAAAATAGAGTTGGATATTTATTAATACCTCATTGGATGTATGAGATGCAAATATCCTCCCTAATAAATAGGTTACATTTTCATCTGGGAGGAAAAAGTTCCCAAACAATGGTTAGGGAGTCTGGGGGCTAGTGCCAGCAGTGTTGGGCCAACCAGGATAGATAGTTTAATATGACAGTCTGGCAATACTGTGCATCTAGAAAGCAGGACTGCTTGGGCAAACATGCAGAGTTGAGGATTGAACTAGGGGTACTGTGAAGGCAAGACAAGCACTCCTGACCTCTGAAATAGGTCAATAACCCCTAAATTTTAATTTTTGTAGAATTATTTTACTGCACAGGATCTTTTTAATTTGTACTCTCTCACTCTCCCTCTACATAGGTACTCTCTCACTCTCTCTACATAGGTATGTATGTGTATATATATATATATATATATATATATATATATCACTGTACTCCCATTGATCATCGATTTGCTCAAGCGGGCCCAGTAACGTCGCCATTGGAGACTTTGTTGTTACTGTGTTTGGCATATTGAATACATCACGGGTAGTTTGCCAGCCTCTGCCGTGCGGGCGAGATATTCTCGGTAGCTTGCCGGGTTCTCTGAGAGGGGCGGAGGAATCGAACTCGGGTTGGCCATGTTGGCTGTGTACAAGGCAAATGCCCTACTGCTGTGCTATCGCTCCAGCCCATATATATATATATAAAATTTGAAACCATTTTTGTGGCAAATATCAAGGAGCATAACATCTGTTTTTCCTAAGTCTTTTAGTGTTTCATGTTAAATAGTCAAGTCTTTAGCCGACTTTGAATTAAAGCTTTTTGTACATTCTATTGTTTTATATACATTATATACATTCAATTGTTTTAGCCTTTTCATTAGATTTAAATCTCTGTTATACTTTCCTCTGCCTGAACAACATCTTTTTAATATTTTCTGCAGTGCTGATCTAAGAATTATTACTTCTTTCAACTTTTGTTTATTTGAAGAGCCTTTTATTTTTACTACTTTTGAAAAAAATACCTCACTTGGCATGGGAGTTTTCATTGACATAATTTATCTTCATTCAGTGATTCATGCCATTCTGTTGGCCATGGAATAGAATTATAGGTTCATTTTTATTTCTTCCAGCACTTTAAATATGTCATACTTTTCCTTTCCTCACACTATTTTTTTTACAAAAAGCTTAATGCAATTCTCATTTTGTTTCACTATGTGAAGCAGGTTTTATACTGTGGCTGATATTCAGATTTTCCTTTTATCTTTTAAAAAGCCATTTCATTGTAATGTCTCATTTGAGTTCATCTTCTTTAGGATTTATTGAGGTTCATGTATTTCAGTTTATAATTCATCTGACTTTTTAGTCATATTTTAGGATTATCTTTTTTCTAATCTCTCCCTCCTGTTCTTTTGAAAAAAAGAATAGGATCTTCAGTTATACCAGAATAAACTTCCTTTATTATGTGAGTCCTTTAATATCTATTTATTTCTTTTATTTCCCCCTCTTTGCCTCTTTTGGTTACTTTACTAATAGAATACTTTTTTATAGAAAATCATCTCGTGTGATGTAAATATTTCTCCACCTTGAATAATTTTACTAGTTTCACATCTATCATAATGTGAAAGAATAACACATAGGCATTTATAATATTTTAGTGCAAGAACATTTTCATTTATTCTTGGAGACTTTACTGACTTTAAATTTAGAAAATATTCTTACAATTTTAATAACAAAATCATGCATTAATGAGCATCAATTGTCTACTCAGTCCTAATTGCTTATTGCTGATATGAGTTAATGTAAGTGGCAATTAGAAGAAGCCTCTGGTGACCAGGGACTCTGCCGCATACTATCAGGTCACATAAACAGATCCCAGTCTTTCTCTATTTCTCAGTTTTGTACCTACCAAATGGGGTGTAAGTGATATTTTTCCTTGGGGGTGAATCTGAGAGTTAATGCATATAAAACAGGGTCAAGTGTAATGTCAGTGACAATATTCTTTTGCTATGATTTAGATGGACAGAGGTTGAGTTTAATGCAGACATAATTTTTTTTATTAGTGAAGCACCATGAGGTACAGTTATAGACTTACAAATTTTTGTGCTTGGGTTTCAGTTATACAATGATCAAGTACCCATCCCTCCACCAGTGCCCATCCTCCACCACCACGGGTCCCAGCATCCCTCCCACCCCCATCCCCCCGTCCCACCCTGCCTCTGTGGCAGGGCATTC